GCAGTGCCCACTCCCCCAGATTTGGCTTTGGATCAGCCCCTTCCTGTAAATAAAGTGGAGTCACATTCCACCAGTGGGCACACACACTCTAGTAACTGAGATAGGAATGCAGCCTGCATTATTTGGGGACAGAGAGGATGCTCTGGCCAGTCCAGGGTACCATCTTGAGTACACATAAAGCGGGCCTTTGGAAAGTATATCTTTTAACCTGTACCCTTGAGAACAATGTCACCTGCACAATCCTGCACCTGCAAATGTATACATTGAACCTGAATTTCTAGATGCATTTACAGCATCATTACATAGTTACATAGCTGAAAAGAGACTTGCGTCCATCAAGTTCAGCCTTCCTCACATATTTTTTTGTGGTTGATCCAAAAGAAGGCAAAAAACCCAGTCTGAAGCGCTTTCAATTTTACAACAAACTAGGAAAAAATGTCTTTCTTGACCCCAAAATAGCAGTTAGATGTCTCCTTGGATCAAGCAGCTATTACCCCACTAATTAAAAATGATATCCCTGTATGTTATGTTTTTGCAAGTATTTATCCAACACATAAGTTTAAACATCTGTATAGACTCTGACAAAACCACCTCTTCAGGCAAAGAATACCATATCCTTATTGCTCTTACTGTAAAAAAACCTTTTCTTTGCCTTAGATGAAATCTCCTTTAAGCCTAAATGCCTGACCTCGTGTCCTATGTATAGCCCTATTTATGAATAGATTTCCAGATAATGGTTTGTACTGGCCCCGAATATATTTGTATAATGTTATCATATCCCCTCTCAGGCACCGTTTTTCCAAACTAAAGAGATTAAAAAATTTTAACCTTTCTTCATAACTAAACTTTTTATCAATTTTGTAGCTCGCCTCTGCACTTTTTCTAGTGCCATGATATCTTTCTTTAGAACAGGTGCCCAAAATTGCACAGCATATTCAAGGTGTGGTCTTACCAGCGATTTATAAAGTGGTAAAATTATATTTTCATCTCGAGAATTTATGCCCCTATTTATCCATGACAAAACCTTACTGGCCTTAGCAACGGCAGATTGACATTGCATATTGCTGCCTAATTTGTTGTCTATAACAATTCCCAAATCCTTCTTGTGTGTGGTTATCCCTAGTTCACTACCATTTAGGGTGTAAATTGCTTGTGCATTCTTAACCCCGAAGTGCATGCGTTAAATTTCATCTGCCATTTTAGTGCCCAGTCCCCCAATCTATCCAAATCCATCTGCAGCAAGGCAATATCCTGCTCACATTTTATTACTTTACAAAGTTTTGTGTCATCTGCAAACACTGATACATGGCTTTCAATGCCCATTTCAAGATCATTTATAAATATGTGAAATAGAAGCGGTCCCAAAACAGAACCCTGAGGGACACCACTTACCACTTTTGTCCAGCCTGAAAATTTACCATTAATTACAACTCGTTGTACTCTATCCTTAAGCCAATGTTCTACCCAAGAACAAGAATATTCATCTAGACCAATTTCTTTTAGTTTGAAGACTAACCTATTGTGAGGAACCGTATCAAATGCCTTGGCAAAATCCAAGTAGATTACATCCACTGCAACACCCTGATCTATACTTCTACTTACTTCTTCGTAGAATGCATTAAAACCTGATTGAATAAAATATTAAAGGTAACATTGGTGTACAATTATCTTACAGCCCAACACCTTTAAAAAGTCTTTACTTGGATAGTTGTAATATACGTCAGCTTTTTTCTAAAACTGTTGGTCTGTTCACTAATTTGGTGATTCTGTGATGCGTTGACAATGGGGATATAATTATGATTCTAGATTAAAATAATTTAACTGGTGAAATTATTTATTTTAGCTGTTTTTCTAGTTCAACTATTCCAAGTCTATAAATTGCCATTCCATTTTCGATGTGTCTAATATAATGTTTTAGTGGATATATTCTAAAGCCAAATTTGAGCATGTTCTTCTCTTAGAATTTTGACAGTGTTAGGATGAGAGGTCAGATTCTTAAGGTCACACAGTCTGTCTAAATCTGACTCTCATAGCATACACAACTAAGTCTGGGTGGGCACTATTGGAAATGTAGTTCTGGGACATCTGGGTCCCAAGTGCCTGAATTGGGTGAAAGTAATATTTAATTAATAATATTTCATCCTTACTTGAACAGATTGGTAAAAAAAAGATTTTGATTTGGGGCGGGGCCTAGCCACCGATCAGACTGGTCGCACTAAACGTGAGCTCCGAGCAGGAACCTGCTATAAAGCGACTAATTTATGACATATCAAACCAAAATTACTATATCGGTTCAGCAGAGCATCGGTGTTACCCCGAGACTCAACCCGGGACTACTCTGTTACCCCAAGCTATGATCACCCTCCAATAGGGAACCCTCTTCACACAGCCTAATGGTCTTCTCTCAAGGCTGGAATAGGCTGAAAGCACAGGTGGATCCTAACGGCCCTCTGGCACACGCCGCAGGCCTGGCCTTTGCCTTTGACCATTTCTCTGAGGTGGACTTCTGCAGTAAACCTGGATTTTCCAGCACTCGTCTGGCAACACAGCATCTTCTTTTTTTGTCTCTTGTTTTTATTTTGGTTACTCATGCCTGACTATCTATGTATACCTCTACTGTCTAAATTTTATCCTCCGCTGTGTGGAATTAGGCCCAGCTTGTGGTAAGAATGGGCTGATACCTTAAGCATGTTAAAGAGTGCTAGGCCGCTGTCGGGGAGAACACTATTTATGCATTTGAGTTCCAATGGCATTTTCACTAAAGCATATGTCTTCCTTGTCTGGGGAACTTTGCTATAACTCACTAACTATCCAAGCATTCCGTGCTCTCGATCCACACATTATCTGCTTTAGTCTAAATTACCTGGTTAAGTTACCACATCTACCAGTTAGACGGGACAGTCTTGCTTGTTTACTCATGGGAAAAAAAAAAAAGTGCAATGTCTATTTCTGCCATGCCTTGTTATCAACGTGTATGCTCTTATGTCAATTGTTTGTGCTGTTGTGGCATTACAGATGTGTTTGTAATCACTATGCACAGAAAAAAAAAGAATAAAAAAAAAATGGCAATAGAACTAGGGAATTTAGAAAAAAAAAAAATTCTGTGATACCTAAACAAGCACGTAAGGCTAAACTTCTAAAACATTATAATTCTTTATCATCTCTAGAACCCCGGAAAAAATCCAACCCTGATGCTGACTTACTAAGCCAGATACATGCTCTTAGAACTGAAATACATAACCTTTATTTGGAAAGTATTGCTTATATGCTATGTTTGCTTACGCTGAATTTCTACACACAATGCAGTAAGAAATGAAGTTTACTGGAAAACAAATTGAGAAAACATCTAGCAACAAATTCTATCCATTATACTAAAATTTAGCCACCAACACATGAGCTGGAGTTGAATAGATCCTTTATGCGTCTTTGTCAAGCCTATATCTAAAGTCATATACTTGTTTCTTTAAATTTTAGATTTTTCTACTAAACTGCCCCTAAACATTATAGTACTTAAAATACAATATTTGTAAAGTTATCAAATGTTTTTACATTTTAATTACTGAAAAAGAAATGGATTATTAGGACTTTAGTCTATTATTGGAAATCTAAAATTTAAAATTTATTTGGGGAATCCTTAAAATTTCTCCAGAGAGGGCAGCAAATTGTATATTTAGGTGCACTTAACCGTAGGATCTCAGAATCCACTTCTTTATTTAGAAAAGTAATTTTGAGATTTACAATCAGGAGAAATGCAAAGATTCTAGAAGTATAAAAATATTTGTTTGGGTTTCTCAGTAATAGATTGCAAATGTATATTAAGTATAGCGATCTGCTTCTTCAGTCTCATCACAGGTCATCTCTACATATTTGATTGGGAGAAGTATAGAAATATTTGGTCTTCAGTGGAAGTTGTTACCATAGAATCACTTTCTATGGTAACAACTTATCACACTCTGCTGTCTGGTCAGTTATCCTAGATATTGATAGCATGATATCAAAATATTGAGTAAGAAATCTTTTTTTCCTCAGTGTTAGCAACTGCATAGTCACTAGACTTGTGCATGTGGAGTTTGTTCAGCCAAATTGATTAATTAGAAAAAAAATAGTTGGCCCTGGTGGACCGAATTTCAAACATATCCCACTTTGGTTCGGACAAATTTTGTCCATTCTGTTGTTTCAGGAAAAACTATTTGTGCCAACCAAAATTGCACAAGAATATACCGATTAGTATACTGCAAAATAAAAACATAATATAAATATATATATATATATATATTTTTTTTTTTTTACCTTTTGGTTCACAGATTTGGGTAACCGATAGTGGAAAAAGAGGAAGATCAGTAAAAATGTTTTAGATTTCTATATATTATAATATATAAATATAGTTGGTTCTTACTGCATTTCTTTTTGTCCTTTTAATTTCTCACTTATCACGTGATCTGTGAATAAAATCAAGATTTAGTGAAAAAAGATTTTGAGGTCTTGACCCGTTTCCGTTTCAGACAAATGTTAAAATCTTTTGGTTTACATAATTTTCTCAGTAACTACATATTTCTAAAGTACTCTGGGTCCATGCTAATATTAGGTACTGTGAGGCCGAAACCTACACATAGCCTTAAGCTTGAAGTATTTGGAGAGGATTAGCTTTTTAGACAAGTTTTATATGATATATTTTTTTTAAAACTTATCTAAAATGAATCTGCAAAAGGCTGCCCAGTCAAAGGTCTGACAGAAGGGACCTTGAGCCCTCTAGTGGCACATCTGAAGAATGCAATAAACACAATTACGAGCCTTTAATAAAGTGTTTTTATTCCTAAATTATTAAAAAATATTATGAAATGCATTTTAGATAATAAGTATTAAACAGTTGTATGTGAATGCACCTTGGAAAACAAAAGCAAATCAATTTACATTTTCAGTAAATATTTACAATATTAAAGTATAGTTTTACCAAACTTTAAGTGTAGAAACTATAAATGTCATTATTTGTTCCTGAAAATATTTATGACTCGTGACTTTCATGTCTTGACTGCTTACTATATGTGGCAGACCGACTGAGTACTTCCGCCAATCACGCTTCCTACTAATCCCCGAGTACTATAAGCACTGCACCGGACACCACAAGCACTGTAGCCCCTTAGCCGCCGCAGCTTGGCTGGGGTCTCGCCTTCTCTGCCCACCCTGGACCCAAGTCCTGGATCCAACTTCCAGTGGGTAGACCTCTCCTCCTGAGAGTATAGCAATCAATACTGCAGTATAGCTGTCCCCCCCCCACACATGAGCGGAGGCTTAATGCTGGGAGTTAGACCGTTTAATGCAGGCTAACACTCACAATTTATACACACATTTTAACCCCAGACAGCCTCATTTACATACAATTGGGTACATAGGGCACTATAGTACAAGGGAGTGTGGGGTCAGAAAATAGCAAGGGCTGATGGGAGATTGAGGAGGGACAAAGCAGCTAGTTTGTCCCTGGGACAATGCCCTGCTGGGGAAACAGTAGGACAGGAAAAAGGAGAGGCACATACAAGCAGTACATTCAACATACTCCTCCTCTGTGTCTGAGAGAAAAACACACAATTTCACAACAACCCAAAAGTACCCCCAAAACACAAGTCACATCCCCGGATAGCCCTGATCTAAGTAACCATCATATCCAAAAATCAACATTTAGATCGGTTCAGTGGTTCGGATTTTCCTTTTAAGTCAACTTTTAACATGTCTTTTTACATGGCCCATAGTCTTTGGGCAGGAGGCTAGCCAGCAGGACCCTCCAGGAACACGTGGAAGATTCATCTTTGCCACACTATAAATCCTAACTGTCCTTGTTTGGGACCCATATCCCTCTGCCCCCCTTTCTAATGCCCCTCATTTTTAGGATCTCAGAGATATAGATGTGTCTGAGGGTAAATTTAATGTAAACAGAACCCCAGGGCCAGATGGTGTTCACCCATGCATACCTCCTGAAAGTCCTTGGGGGCATCTCTTTTATCTCTGTTTTAATAACCTGGGCTGGTTACCTTGTATCCTGCTATTGAGGATACCAGGGAACTGTCTTCAGAAAGTGCAGTACAACAGCATATCATTAGACATTATCACATTGTGTTAATAATATCAAGGCATTTCAGCAGGGTTCTTTGCATGGGCTGGCCTAAGTGGGGTACACCAGAGAGGCTGTCAATCAACCTGGTGTGCAATCACACTAGATAAACGTGTCCCCTTTAGGGACAGCCTGCCTACTTTATAGGTAAGGCCACCACTTGTCTGCTCTAGTCTTCTAGCCAAACCACCCTGGTCCCTGTCTTCCCAGGGAAATGCTGGGAAGTATGCTCATGTGTACTGTGGAGCTTAGCATAGAACTAGCAAAACCTCTGCTTTTATTGTGATGCCAATATTTAATAAGAAATCAAAATCTCTGCCTGAACATTACTGATCTGTGAGCATAACATTAGTGGTTGGAAATTTAGTAAAGGAACATTTTGAGCACCAAAACAACTTTAGCGTAATGAAGTGGTTCATGTCTCTGCAGACTCACTGCTTAATTGTCTGCCATTTAGGAGGTATATCACTGTATATCTGCAGCCCTAGCAATACCACACTGTGGAAAAATTTCTAAACCAGCATGCTTTTGTGTTTTTTAGTTTCCAGTTCACTATAATTCAGTGTTTAGTGAATAAATACCTCTGCTTTTTTGTCAAGAAATCTAGACATAAACTGCACGTTCTAAAAATATAATAAAATGCCTGTTGGAAATGAAACTGCAGATATAATGTCCTGGCTCTTTTCAATAACACATTAATTATTAGTGAAGCTCAAAGTAAATAGAAATTAGTGGGAAAGGTGGAGAAATCTATATTTGTCTAGACATTTGTACACAAAAGTAAAAATAATACTTAGCTCATACATGCTGGACTGAGACCATGCTATTTTAAAGGTACAGAATAGGGCAATTAGATGGGCGTCTAGGGTGCTACTTAAGTGGGGGGACCAGCAGACAGTGGATTTTCTGCTCGCTTTATTGGGTGCTAGGTAGCACTTGCATACTGACTCGCACCCGGCATCCACCACAGCCGGCAAAGCCAGACCCCCCTCCTAGACACCCACTGCGGCAGCGCTAGGACGCATCATTTACTTGCTTCCACCTCTTCCCCTGTAAGTGGGGACAAGTGGGCAGGAACATATATGGAACTGCGGCTGAGTCAGGCAGTGACGGGCCACTTGGCAGCCAGGTGCAACTAAGATGTCTGGAATGTATGAAAAGTCAACAGATACATGACATGAAGGTAAAAGTCAGTATTTGTGTGTTAGCATGCGTCCATGTGTGTCTGTGGGAGTCAGTCTGCTTGGGTTACTGTGTGTCTGCTTGAGCCAGTGTGTTTGCATTTGTCTAGATGAGTGGGTGGAGCAAATGGGGAGGCAACTTTTTTTTTTGGCTAGGGCGGCAAAAATCCTTGCACTAGCTCTGTAGCTAAGTGGTGGTGTTTTGTTTTTTTTCTCAAACTATTTTGGCTTAAAATTATAATTTCTCTTTTTTAACAGTTTTGCCAAAAACACTGAAAGTTCTTCATGTACTTTCAACCTTATTTTCCATTTCTGCCACCATCAACATCACCATTATATTTTTGCACTTGTGACAATAGATTAAAGGATCCGCTGTAGAAGTTCTTCTTATGTATGAATTCTGAATCCCTATGGGCAGTTATTGTTTATGATTTCAGTTATCGTCAGGCCCCCTTCTGTCAGTGACCGAATGCATGACTGGTTAGTCTTCCTGTGTCCATTGAGATTGATGGTTGACATAAATTGGGGAATTTACTAGTGTAAACACTTATCTTTAAGGGTCCGTTATAAATGTTGAGATTAAATTAATTTTGAGACTCATTTTTCTTGTTATTCAAAAATAAGAACCTTCTGCTGAAGAAAAGTGGGCGTTTGGTCTCGCGGTGGATCCCGGCCTACCTCATCTAGGTACAATGGATACAATTATTATTTCCTGTAGTAGAGTCATATTGGCTTCTTGTATGTTTATTTTTCTCTTCTTTTGGTTTGTTCTTTCATTATTACTCACGGAAGTTTGGCACAGTAATTGGTACACTCTCTGCGGATGACTGAAAAACCCGGCATAGCCTGCAACCCTCCCATTCCTTAACTGCCTGGTTCCAAGACCGATCTGTTTATAGCAGTGTTTGACAAAAATAAGTAGGTAACAAAAAATAAATAAATAATAGATCACGTTATAAACTGTAAAAAAAGAAAACACCTTTTGGTTTTGAAGGCACCATTTGCAGTGTTTATTTGGGAGCTAAAGCCGAGTGGCACGCCATCACCAACACCTCAGACAACATCAGATTATTTGTGTAATGTCAGCCTGTTATTGGATGCTTTTGTCAGGCATGCTTGTTTTGCCCAGTAGATCAGGTGTTTATCATTCCAGAATATACCAATATCCCTGGTGGCCGTCCCTGGCGGCTGTCCCCAGCTCCCACCTGTAGGGAGTAAAAAAGAAAGTTTACTTTCCTTTTCTCTCTTGCAGTGCCTGTCTTAGTCTTTATTAGAATACAACCAGAAAATACAGGAAATATGTATGCAGGAGAGGTTTTGGTGGAAAAAAAAGGAGTAGGAGGCCAAGAAAACGTTCAAAATCTGATAAGAAGAAACTTTCTTATTTGAGAGATCGGAAGAAGTCCAGCAAGGACCTGGCTCAGCATCTGGCAGCTTCATTGGGAAGCCAAGATGACCATTGTACAGTCCGAAGAAGTGTGATCAGGAATGGTCTTTGCGGAGGGGTAGCAGCCAAGAAACCTTTGCGAAGGAGAAGGTGAAAAAGCTCAAAAAATTCTTATCAGATTTTGTAAGTTTTCTTGACCTTCCAGTCCTATTTTTGTGTCCAAGATCTCTCATGATTCTTCAAATTTATTTATAACAGCTTGAATACCACATATTAAATATCCAGTTTGTCTGCTGATTTCCCAAGAGAGTGATCGTGCATACATTCCTGTATTTTCTGGTTGTATTCGAATAAAGAGACTGAGAAATAATTATATATGGTCATTACAGGGAGTGCAGAATTATTAGGCAAGTTGTATTTTTGAGGATTAATTTTATTATTGAACAACAACCATGTTCTCAATGAACCCAAAAAACTCATTAATATCAAAGCTGAATATTTTTGGAAGTAGTTTTTAGTTTGTTTTTAGTTTTAGCTATGTTAGGGGGATATCTGTGTGTGCAGGTGACTATTACTGTGCATAATTATTAGGCAACTTAACAAAAAACAAATATATACCCATTTCAATTATTTATTATTACCAGTGAAACCAATATAACATCTCAACATTCACAAATATACATTTCTGACATTCAAAAACAAAACAAAAACAAATCAGTGACCAATATAGCCACCTTTCTTTGCAAGGACACTCAAAAGCCTGCCATCCATGGATTCTGTCAGTGTTTTGATCTGTTCACCATCAACATTGCGTGCAGCAGCAACCACAGCCTCCCAGACACTGTTCAGAGAGGTGTACTGTTTTCCCTCCTTGTAAATCTCACATTTGATGATGGACCACAGGTTCTCAATGAGGTTCAGATCAGGTGAACAAGGAGGCCATGTCATTAGATTTTCTTCTTTTATACCCTTTCTTGCCAGCCACGCTGTGGAGTACTTGGACGCGTGTGATGGAGCATTGTCCTGCATGAAAATCATGAGCTTGACTCCATCCTCAACCCGAAAAGGCCCCACAAGCTCATCCTTGATGATACCAGCCCAAACCAGTACTCCACCTCCACCTTGCTGGCGTCTGAGTCGGACTGGAGCTCTCTGCCCTTTACCAATCCAGCCACGGGCCCATCCATCTGGCCCATCAAGACTCACTCTCATTTCATCAGTCCATAAAACCTTAGAAAAATCAGTCTTGAGATATTTCTTGGCCCAGTCTTGACGTTTCAGCTTGTGTGTCTTGTTCAGTGGTGGTCGTCTTTCAGCCTTTCTTACCTTGGCCATGTCTCTGAGTATTGCACACCTTGTGCTTTTGGGCACTCCAGTGATGTTGCAGCTCTGAAATATGGCCAAACTGGTGGCAAGTGGCATCGTGGCAGCTGCACGCTTGACTTTTCTCAGTTCATGGGCAGTTATTTTGCGCCTTGGTTTTTCCACACGCTTCTTGCGACCCTGTTGACTATTTTGAATGAAACGCTTGATTGTTCGATGATCACGCTTCAGAAGCTTTGCAATTTTAAGAGTGCTGCATCCCTCTGCAAGATATCTCACTATTTTTGACTTTTCTGAGCCTGTCAAGTCCTTCTTTTGACCCATTTTGCCAAAGGAAAGGAAGTTGCCTAATAATTATGCACACCTGATATAGGGTGTTGATGTCATTAGACCACACCCCTTCTCATTACAGAGATGCACATCACCTAATATGCTTAATTGGTAGTAGGCTTTCGAGCCTATACAGCTTGGAGTAAGACAACATGCATAAAGAGGATGATGTGGTCAAAATACTCATTTGCCTAATAATTCTGCACTCCCTGTATACCATTGCTAAAACAACAAATCTAATGGTGGCCAAAGACTTTTGCACAATAATGTGTGTGTGTATATATATAAATATTTTGATATTATATTGTATTTTTATATCAAAATACAGAATGAATATATAATAATTATTTTGTATTATTTTGACAAAAATATGTGATTTTGTTAATTATATATTGAGGGACCTGCCTGACAACCCAGGCAGAAAGTCCAGATAATTTAATTTGTAAGCCCTCTATTTCCATATATTTGACCCTGTAGCTTTCCAAAACCCCATAAAATATGTCCATGGGGGGTGCTGTTGTACACATTAGACTTTTCTGAACACAAATATGAGTGTTTCAAAACAGTAAAATGTATCACGGCGATGATATCATCGATGAAAGTTTTGTGTGAAAAACATTAAACAAAATATAAACACTAACTTTGGCCAGGATATGTGACAAAGTAGCTATTAAATAAGACTGGACATACCCCATTTTGAATACCCTGAGTTGTCTACTTTTGCAAATGGTATGCTATGATGGGGGTAACTTTCATTCCTGGGCTGCCATACGGTCTAAAAGGAAACATAGGCCCAGTAAACCAATCTGGAAAATTTTAATGTGTAGTAACTGAAAAGGGGAAAGCCCTATATTTGACCCTGTAACTTTCCTAAACCCAATAAAACCTGAACATGGGGGTACTGTTGTATTCACTGGACATTGCTGAACACGCATTTGTGTGTTTTATTGCAGTGAAAACCAACAGTAATATGACATTAACCGCTAAAATGCCATGCAGAAGTTGGAAAATATTTTTGTTAGTCATTTCTCACACAATGTTTTTTATATTGTATTCATATTAAATTGTTCCCTATATGAATATTTGATGTGGTGTGAAAGCCCTATTTCTCCTGAACAAAATGATATATGAGTATGTGTACACTTAATATGAAATGGATACATTCTGGTTTAACAAAGCTATATCTCAAATTCTAGGTATTGTTTTGGTTTTGTTCAGAACTTATACCTTTGTCCGTAAGGGGTTAAGGAAGATTCTCAATACTATACACAAATTGCTTTTAGGTTAATTGTTTGTTTAATTGTTGAACTATTTACACATGTAGTCTATGATCAGACAGCTGCAGGCACCTGAGTGCTCTATGCTTATGGTAATCACAAAGCGTAATAATATATTAGGGGTTGTTGTTACCAGATTTAATTATAACACACTAGTACGTTTTTTGTACACTTTAAATATATTTGCTTTATACCATTTATTTAGATATTTAGATAAATGGATCACGCTAAGGCACTTAATGCTCCATATCATCAAGAAAGCTGTTGCTAATGCAGATATCAGCACACCTAAACCATTTTAGCATTCCAGAATCAGACAGGTTGGGACTTTACACTTCTTCCAGAACCTCTTTAGCCTGTCCTTTGTCATCAACCAAATTCAGGCTGTGACTTCCCAAGCCCGTCCAGTCATTATTCATTTACCAAACTTGCTGGCGCAGGAAGCCCGCCACCGCAGACCCCCACCCCTACTATGGTAGACACTGCCAGGCTCCCTTAGCCGTGTTCACCGGTAGTCTGGTAATTTTTCCAAAATTCCCCACTTCCAACTTTCTAACCAACTGAATCCATTTGGTTTCTATGCTGATCCTTAAGGGCAGCAGTTATTCTCCTCCTCCCTATTCGCTCCAGGGATTAGCCTTTCTTAGTCTCTGGGTGGAGTCTAAGAGTCAGTTTTGATGGCTGAAGGGAATTGGCTGTGTCTATAGATCCTCCGTAGACTCTAATGCTGTTTTTGCACGTGCGTGTGAGTACAGTAGTGACATTGGCTCTGAAGAGGACCCTGCCAGATCAAGATGACCACACCGATGAGGGACATGTTCAAGTAAGTAAATCCTACATTAACCTACCACCCCAGCCACGAGACCCCCAGCAGTGATGTCGCCATTGGCGGGACTGGATTAAGAGCCCATTGGGCCTGGTGCAAACAATTATGATGGGCCAGAATCTTTTCGACAGAAAACACTAAAACCGTTATACCTCCCAAGTGTCCTGTATCTTGTGGAGGTGGTGCTGGAGGGAAACTCACAGGATATAGCTATCTGAATACACATACCCTATGCTAAGCTCTCACTTTCATCTTTCAAATACATCCATACCTCCTAACAGAAGCGTCCATCACAGCAGGATTTCAGTTGGCAGGGAAAAAGGTGGCCCACTGATGTGAATCACGTAGCCAGAACTGCCCAAGAGGGGGGCGTGTCTGCACTAAGAATTAGATGGTCAGCCTGATGTGAATGCATTGTTTGGGGACTTTGCCGAATATGCAAACTTCCCCAATGGCCAGGGCCGGATTAACATAGGGGCTGATGGAGCTGCAGCTCCAGGACCATGCCTATAGAATAGGCCCATTGATTTAAAATATACAGATACATTTTTTAAACTACTCTTCACATGCTCTTGCTCAAGGATGGCAGCTTAAGTTTTACTTAAAAACTGAGATGGCTTCTATCTGTCAACATAGCTTAACACAGATGCAATGTTATGTAAGCTGGGAATGTAAAATTATTTTGGAGCATGCTTTTTCTCATGTAACAAAAAAAGGACCCAATTTAATTATTTGTTTTTGCCGGCTCTTTGACTAAAAAAGGAAGTAAAAAAAAATAAGCGATCTGATTTGGAAGTGGAAGACAGACAGAGGGAGAAGATATTGAAGGACAGGGAAAATAAAAAAGGAGGTTGGAGTGAGCTCATATAGAGAGACTGAGCTCTGCAAAGCTGTATCGACACTCCTTGAAATAGACCATTTTATGCAGTCCTGTTTAAATACTAACATAGTGCTGCTCCCACTGTGTATTGAACATGCTGGGCAATATTGTGTAGCGTATGTTGTTTACTGATTACTGTATAACTGGGCTGTCTGTATGGGCTTTTGGCCCAGAATGAAGAATGCTGGCTTCTCTCTGCCAATCGGTATCAGATCATTATACTACAGAGTAGCAGCAGCAGATTGGTGAAATTGAAGAAAAGAATGTGGGTGCAGTGTGAAAGAGACACTATTTTTACAAGTATCGAAGATTACTGCATGAAAAAAAAACTATCTGAACAAACAACTTTACTAA